ATTTGCACAAGAGTAATTGATGGTATTTTCCACAGTTGGCACTTGGCCTGGTTTTGATTGAGATGTTGAGCTTCTCCATCTATTCTTTCTCCAGATGTAGTCAATCTGATTCCTGTGTTGTCCAACAGGTGAGGTCCATGTATATAGCTGCCATTTTTTAAAAATGTATTTGAAATGAGTAAATAATTAATTGTACAAAATTCTTTCATGTGATCTCCAGCTTCATTTCTGTCACTCTAGTTCTAGTTGTATGCATAATCTTTTATTAAGACTGCATTTCCCAGCTTCCCTATCAGTTTAATGAGGGCATGTGATGACATCATAATCAATGGAATAAAAGGAAAGGGAAGCCACACTGCTAGTCTGTACCCTAGTGAGCTGTCTCATACTGACACCTTAAATTATGGAAAGGTGACAATAAAGTGTGTAGTGCCCCAAATGGAACCACCATATCAGTCTTGATTGTTCATCCTCAGGCTGTCCACAAAGAGAAATGCATGTGTCTATTGTCTATTGGCTGTCAGAATGTCTTCCTTTTAAAAAATCTTTTCCATGATTTTCCCCCTATTTTATTATTGGGTTATCAGGTTTTTTTTCTTGTGGAGGCCCTGTAGTATTCTGTAAATTTCTGTTATGAATCATTTATATTAAGTGATATTGCCAAATGTTTTTCCCAGTCTATATGTTTTCTTTTCACTCTATTGGAAAAAGGTTTTGATGTACACAGGGACTTAATTTTTAAAAGGCCCAATTTGTTAGCTTTGTCATCTCCTGGTTGTACATTTCCAGTGATATTTGTAAGCCTATTTATGCCACAGGCCAGGGTTTCTAAGATTTGTCCCATTTTTTTCTCTTATGATACTTTTGAGCTTGTGCTTTACCCCACGGTCTCTGATACACTTTGTTTTGATTTCTGTGCAGGGTGTAAGATGTGGATCTTGTTTCACTTTTCTGTAGGCCATTGTCCAGTTTTGCCAGTACCATTTGTTGAAGAGGCTGCAATTTTCCCTTTTAACAGGTTTTTACTCCCTGCCAAATACTAATTGAATGTTGCTAGATATGTTAAGAAATGCTAAAAGTCAATGGCAATCAGAGAATACACACATCAAAACTACAATGAGATACCATTTCACCCCTGTAGTAGTAGCAAAGTTTAACAGGACAGCAAGCAATACATTTTGGAGAGGATGTAGGGGGACTGGAACTCTCATGTACTGCTGGGGCTATTGTAAAATGGTACAACCATTCTGGAATGTAGTTTGGCATTTTCTCAAAAACCTAAAAATAAAATAAATTTTTAAAAAGCTAAACATAGAAATCCCATATGACCCAGGGTCATATACCCACACTGTTAGGAATACCCCCAAGGAAATTAAAACTGAGACACAAACGGAGATATATACACCCATGTTCATAATAGCACTATTCACAATAGCAAGAAATTGAAAACAGCCCAGATGCCTATCAACAATCTAATGAATTGAGAAATTGTGGTATAATCACATAATGGAATACTATGCAGCAATAAAAAGCAATGATTTAATAAAATACTATACAACATGGGAGAGTCTAGAGAGAATTATATTTTAAGTGAACTAATTCAATCTCATAATGACAAATCCTGCATAAAACACTTATTATAAAAATACAAGGATAACTAGTAAGATGTGTACAAATGTCCAAAAGGAGAAGGGGAAGCAGAGAAGGAGGTGGAGAAAAGGGAAGAGTGGAAATTATTAACATAGCAGAGTTTAGTGGGTGGATCAGAGGGAGAGGGAGGGAATGGGAAATATTTAATGGGGACTTGAAGAAAAGATGGTGTAATAGTAGGCATAGATCAATGGTAATGAATTGTGTGGTATACAGTGTATGTGAATGATTGTATGAAACACAATTGAGGGACTGTATGGAACACAAAGTAAATGACTGAAACTAAATGTAAATAAATTACTGTGTGAAAATTAAAAAAGTTAAGAAATAAAAACCAAAGAGAAATGCAAATTTGTGCCTTGTTTATGTCATGGCCTTGGGGAATTTTCTTTATTATAGCATCCTAATGGATACTCTCTGGAGAGAGGATGAAAGGCACCCAAGTGTTGAGGACTCTCCTTCATAGGGTCGCTATGAGTCGCCTGCAACTCGATGAAACGTAACAACAACAACAATGGATACTCTCTACGTGGTACGACGCTTAATAAATAACACTTCCCTTCCCTACCCTATATGCCTTGGGAGATGGATTTTAGGCAAGATTTATGATGAGAGGGGATTATAATGACTGGATTGTTTTGCTCTGGAAATTTTCAGATTCATACTGTTACAACTATTGAGTGTACTGGCTTGTTTCTCTTCTTCCAGTCATAGAAATCACTGAAGGTGAGAAACAGGAGGCACAATGGTCTCCCAGGGGCAGGGACCTTCTTTTACACTCACTGTGCAGGGTGTAGAAACTGAAACGCCAAGTAGCTTAAGAAGCACTTCAGAGTGGAGAAGCTGGTAATCCACACTTGCATCACTTCACATTGCTGCTCCAACAAGCCCTCTCAGAGAGACCACTCCAAAGTCCACCCCAGAGTATATGCATAGCTGTGTGTTGAATATGCATTTCAGGAAGGAATCTAGGAGGCTGGAGTGAGGGTGACCAGATAGATCACGTGTCCTGCCTGAGATTGCTGGTTGCCTCAGTAGAAAACAAGTGGAGTGTGGCTGGATAAGAGCACACTGGCTATTGTAGGAACTAAGATGAGGGGAACCATGCATCCAGGCAGGCTCCCGAGCAATAGATATTTGTGTACCCAGGATTACTCCTCTCCCAGTGGCCTAACCTCCCCACCATCCCTCGAAAATCCTTCCTATATGGCCTGCAGCACTTCTTTATAGGTTTTATAACTTAAGCCTGAGTTAATGTACCTGGAAATCAATGCTTTATTTCCTCACAGCATGTTTGAACATAGGAGTCCATGTAGTCAGGGGCCAAGGGCAAAGGTCACCAAGTCAAGTTCTTTCCCTACAACCAGACTCATTCAGAATCTACGTCTAACTCACTGATCATGTGTGCTTCTGGTGGACATGCACAAAAGCACAGGGTCTGCCAGATTCCACCAGACAGATGAGCAGATGATTTTGTCAGTCCCTTCCCAAGACAGCCGGAAAATTGGTCTCTGCTCTCCCAGGCCAGAAACTACATTCCCCCTTAGAACTCCTCCACTGAAAATCCACAGATGCTACACCATCTGCCTCCAGACAGCCAAAGTCTTATGGAGAAACACTTGTCCTGATTTGCATCCAGGCTCTTTTAAAATAGGGGTCACACAGCAGAGGTGCTTGGGAAAGAACCACCCTAGAATTTCTCTCACACCTCTATGTGACTGGGGGCATTGTGACAGCCACACAGCTCCACTGTGGCCCACCTCCACTCCTGACTATCCCCTCCCAATCGTTTGGCCTTTGCTGGTTCTCTGGCTTCTACTCCATTCATCCTTCCCCAACTTAGGGTTCAAATCTCAACAGGAAGTCTATATATAGGAATCTTCAAGAATTATGGACATTTAAAGAGACTTTACCTTCCAAGAGCTCAGAGAAGTTGGGGAGGTAGAGAGGCCTAACTTATTGGATCCAGACTGTAATCACTGTGCCAAGAGGGAAGAACATATGTATCTCCTAAAGGAAATTCAGTTGGCACAAGCTGACCCTAGCTTACAACTTTATCACTTCTTTTCTCTAGAATGTGAAATCCTACCACTGAACTGGCACTAGCTCTAGGAAGCCACCTTAAAGACAGGCCCACAAGGGTCACCTATTCTTCCGTTTCCTGATAAAGCCACTCACCTGGCACTGTCTGCTCCTACCAGCATGTCAGCCCCATGTGGGTCACCTGGACCTCCATCAGTCAGGATGAATGAAGACCCAAGGAAGGCTACAGGACTAACAGAGCACCTGCTTAGCCGTAACAAGATAAGTAAACTCCCAGGTGTAAAATAAAGTCCCTGAACTCTGCAAAATGCAGACGCTGGGGAATCAGCCTTACTTTGTGGCAAAACAATGTGTAAAAAAAACCCACATCCTGGAAACTACTGAGTTCTTTTTTTTTCCTTTTTATTGGCAAAGTAAATATATTTTTATGAAGAACCAAAGAAAATATACAGAATTGCAACATTATATACACCACCTTTATAGATGTTCCAATTTCAAATTTACACAAACGATGTTATTAAAAGATATTTTATGCATATGCATTTATGTACAGTTTATTTACATACATTCATAGGATGTGAAATAAACCAGTTCAAACAATCTAGTTTATTTGATATTAATTTCTAGACCCAATTAGGAATGCATGTCTAAATCTGGACAGGGAAGCTCTACCTAATATCTTCACACACAATGCAGCCTGCCCCTCTGCCTGAAGTGACCAAGAGGCTGGCGTGTGGACCTGTCTGGGAAGCTGGGCAGGGGGTGAGCAGACTAGTGACTGACCCTCTTGTCTCTGAGGGAGCCTGTCTCTCTCAGTTCTGCACATTCAACTCAAGCGATTGCACGAGCAGTGCCGGTGTCTCCCCGGCCTCCGGGCCTGCCAGCCCTGGTGATCAGGCTGTGCCAGGCGCAGCACCATGCGGTCAGACTTTTGACCTATTTCCTTCTTCCCAGCATGGCTTCCTCTGGGAATCGAACATTTCAAAACTTCGCATTTCTTCTTCCTCAGTAATAGAGTGTTGGCCTTGGCCCAAGCAGGGAGCCCAGTGGGAGAAGAGCCAGGCCCTTGAAGCCCTGTCCCAGCTGCCGGCAGCTGAGGCCCAGGCGGTCAGAGGGGCCTGGTGGGACCAGGGCACCTGTGAGCCCGCCCCTCGTAGGGCGCTGTGTCCACACACTGCCTGGTACTCCCGCACCTCCCGACTTCGATAAGGGGTAGGGGGGCAATGTGCTGTCCCATCTCTCAGAGACAAATAAATTATTGCTATAAAATAACCCCATGAGCATGGCGGGGTAGGATCTCAGGCTGTTCAGTTCGCTGCGCGCCCCACTCGACTACTGCGCGGAAAGCGGTGCACCTTGATGTGCTTGGAGAGGTGGTCGCTGCGGGCGAACTTCTTCTCGCACACGGGGCACTGGTAGGGCTTCACGCCAGAATGAGAGCGCCGGTGTCGTGACAGCTCATCAGACCGTGAAAACCTGCGGGACAGGGCGCTCAGTGGGGCAGTAGGGCCTCCTGCACTTCGGATCCCAAAGCTCCCCTCCAAGTACACAAGGGCCCCTCAGTGGCCTGCAAAGCGCAGCTGGGTCCATGCCCACTGATGAAGTCACCACCTTGCCACCCTCCACGGTGGTAAGAGTGTGAACATATATGGTTGCTGCGGGCACAGCCTGGGCTGGCTGGGGCAGCTGTTACACAGACTGTGGAGGTCCACAATCTACATGGGCACCAGAAGAACAGCCATATTCAATCACCCTGTCCCAGATGCATATGAATCTCTTCAGGCCTCAGCCTCACCCCCACCCCCTACTCCCCAGGACTTCTGGGGAAGCCCATCCAGAAGGCCAAGTAAACTGCTTCCACACCACCTAGAGTCTCAGTCTCTTAGGTCTTGCTTTGCTAGGATGAAAGGGTCCTCGGACTTGAACCTCACCCCATCTACTCTTGGCCTCTGGTTTCCAAGCAGTAGGGCTCCCAAGATGCCACCAAACAACAAAATACCCAAAATGAAGGAGGTGTGTCTCAAGTTGAAGTGGCGCCCATGGCATCTCTATGGGGCTCTGCCTAACCTGGGAACAAGTGGTGGTTTATTCAGGCCTGCTGGCCGCCTGGGGGCCTTGAGAGTCAGACAAGGCCAAGGGGCTCAGATTGCTCTCCTTGGCTTAGAGCACTTGGGGCCTTTCCCATCCTATGACCCTGCTCCAGGCAGAGATCACAACCCCCTCCCCGAGATACACACTCCTTATCCTGTGTTCTATTTACACGTACCTCTTCTAGGTCCCTCTCACCACAGGGCATTTACAAATACTGTTCCCCCTATGAAATGCTGGTCTCATCCCTCTTCTCCTTGCTCCCTCATATCCATGAGTAGAGCTCAGCTCAAATGTCACTTCCTCAAGACAGCCCACCAAGATTGGACCCTCATCCAAGGACCCCACAACACTATGCACTTCTCTTCCCTGTCTTTGTCATCAGTACACAAGTTTTTGATGAACACAAGTCTTTATCCAGCATCCTAAGGACTCCGAGGAAGAGTGAAGGCCTGGTGCAATGCTTGTGTTCCATCAGTGTATGAAAACAGGAATGAATATATCAAGCATCATAGGGCACAAAGAGCTTTAAGTCAGTCTCTCTCTCTCTCTCTCACACACACACACACACACACACACACACACTCTTTCACTCTCTGTGTTTCCAGGAACCAGGATTACAAAGCAAAAAGTAGGTTTGATGGTGACAATACAACTGGCCCTGCTGGTGAGTCAGGAGGGTGGCCCTCCTCTGGCTAGCCAATGAGTGAATTTAGCCTGGAGTAAGCAGGGAGGACCCAGCAGAGGAAGGTCCCGGTGAGTGCAGGCAGGGGACCAAGAATCAGACTGGAAGCCTTGATACAGAGGAGCAATACTCCAACTTCCACCCTGCTGTCCTTGTGGGTCCCAGCTTTTCTCCCAGAGAGTGGATAAGTGGATGAAGTTTCTGAATTTGGTGGCAGGAATTAAACTCACACCCCCAAAGTGTCCATCATTTCCAGGCATGGAGTCAATATCCCACGAATGTTTTAAATGAGTTCCAGCTGATCCAGTTGTGAGATGAAGAAACTGATAAGGGACTGTTCCAGGGTCCCTTGGTGAAATAGTATCAATGAGGTAGGAGCAAAGGACTCAGCAACGCTGTCCTGTGCCTCACCTATGGTTTTTGCCCTCCAGTCAACAGATGGGCCTGTCCGGAGCAGGGGGAATAGGAGAGCATAAAAGCCACACACTGGTATTGCTAGAGTCTTCCCAGCACCGGGCTTAGGGGTTACCTGGCCTCTTCCTGACCACATATCCAAGATCAGCCCATTGTGCTTGACAAGACAGGAAAAAGACTCAGAACAGTCAGGGGGCCTACCCAGAGTCAGCCAGCCAGCCGAGCAGCAAGGTTCAGCTCCAGGACTGTGGGACTATATATTCACCACCACCACGGCCCCCCAGGTGTTCTGAGCAAATCATCAAACTCCTTTGGGCCTCAGTATCTTTGTCCACCCAGTGAAGACCTGAGAGCCCTGCCTGCCCCCTAGAACTTGGCTTAGAAGGCAGAGACAGAGGGCAATTGCAGACTCTCTCTTCAGAATATTTGTGAAGGACAGGCACCTGAGGGAGAGCTGGGCCAGAGGACAGGCTATCTTCACTCTCAAACCCCTCTCACTCTGTGATGGCACCTCCTACAACTTGAGGGGCTGTCTGAGGAAACAGAGCACTCAGAAGACTTCTGCCTGATACTGCACACTATCACAAAGGGAGAGTAGAGCAGCACTAAGGGGGAGAAATTACATCAGGTGGTTGAGAGGCCATTTTTTCAGGCATTAAGCTCTGACCCCTCCTGACCAGGTGGCCTGGCCAAGTCACTAAGCTCCAAGTCTCGGTGTCCCCACTGAGAAACAGGGAGAATGATAGTCCTACTTAACAGGATTATAAAAGTTAAGGAGTAAAGTACCTGGCACGTGGTAATTGTTCATTGACTGAGCTCATATTATCTGTAAGCAGTTAGCATGGAGCTTGGTACCTACAAAGATACTGCTGGAGCTAGCCCAGGAAGCTGCATGTCCCCAGCAGCTGAGATGTTAGCACCACTGACTCACACAGCACTTGAGGGGGAAGTGCAGGGTCTCTTCCTCAAGACTCTGCCATCTGGCTGAGAGCAATTAAAAACTCTAGCCCCAAGGACTGCAACGTTAATGGCATCCCTAGGGTTCTGCAGTGCGCAGCGCTCTCAAACATATTTGGTGGTGGCTTTACCTCCTTGCATGGGAGCAGTAGCATTGAAGTAGCAATTGACCATATGGTTTGCGTCCTTGTCTTCTGCTCTGTAGACTTAGGTCTACAACGTCCTTTCCCGGGTTCCTTGTCAACTGTGGATGACAACAGTGCCTACCATACAGTGCTGCTGACCACTACTAATAGGAACATTCACTGCAATCATAGGGGATTCTTCACGGACAGAGTGGCCTAACCTTCAGAACAGGATGTTCTGCTGCATGAACAAAGGAGGTCTCTGTCTGAGGGTGAAGCAACGGGAACTTCTAGGAAGGCAGGCAGTGGCCACTTCCCAGATGGTGAGATCACATTGAGCACGTCTGGTGTCCATCCATAGACAGCGCTAAGACCACTCAACAAGAGGGGCATGGACAGAGAATATTAAGCCCAGGCCCACAGAGAAGTGGGACAAGTGATGGCCATGGGGGAAAGTGGCAGGATTTGTATTTCACAAGTGATGTGAGGTGGGGCTAGGTGTATGTAGCTCATTCTTTAAGGGAACAGTGCCAGAACTCAGCTCCTACTATGAGGAAGAGCTCATCACCCACCAGGGCCACCTGGGGAGAGAGAGGCCTGAAAAGCTAGAGAGCTCCCGTAGGAGCCAGAACATGCAGGAGTGCTGTCCTGAGATCTGGATCCTCTCACTCCCAGCCCCCACTGGAGGTGAGAGAGGAGGCTGGAGAGAAGAGGCCAAGTCCAGGGGGAGAACTTATTATCAGCTCTCTGCCTTGACTTGCTCCTCTGTAAAATGGGGATAGCAACACTACTGCCTACCTCACAGACTAACTTTGAGAGTTAGATGAGTCCAGGCAGTGTTTTAAACAATGCTGAGCACATGCGAGGAACCATGGTTATCCAGCTGGAACCAACCCTCTACCAGGTTTTCAGAGTCAGTAAAAAGCACAAGAGGAAACTGTTCATCTTTCTCCCAAGGAGCAGCTGATAGATGAGAATCATGTGCCTTTTGGTTGGTGGCACAGTATTACTAAGCCACCTTTGCCCAAGGCCCACAAGCATGATCCCACACAGCTCGTGGGGGAGACGAACGTCAGCCACCATGACACCAAGCACAAAGGGACAGCCTCAGTCCTCAGGCTCCATACTAGAGAGGCCTATGTTGGTGGGCGTGCCTTCTGCCAACATCTGGCCCCCAGAACCTTGCCCCAGTGTGCAAGCGATTCAATACTTCCTTGTCTTGATTTCTCCTTGTAAAACCAGATGGGTGCCTACACTGCCTGTGGTTGCTGGGGAAAGGTGACGACTGGATGCATGTGGCATGTGTAGTAAAAAGCCAGAACGATCAAAAGAGCAGTGGTAGGAGCATCACTATGGTGCCACTGCAAAGAGCAGGCCAGATGGAGTATGGAGGCAGAGGCCACGGCCAAGGCAGGCAGAGCTGGGGCCCATTAGGAAAGGGCAGCAGCATAAAAGCAGATTTTGCAGATCATAGAATTCCGGAGAGAAGTTTGGGTAGGTATTTAAGTGACCTTGGGCCAGACTGGCCTCTGGAGCTAATGAACTCCCAGGGCTAGATGCATGTGAGCAGGTGTGAGGATGAGTGAGCAGGTTTGGAGGTGAGGAACTGAAGCAGAGTACCTACTACACAGTCTATGCTCAGAAGTATGGCTTCTTACTGCCAGCAGCACTGCTTCTCCTGTCCTCACCCAGCTGCTGCTCAAAGATCCCTCTGCCTGCCAACAAGCTGCTGAAGGTTATGGCTGCATTAGAGGAGCATACATGTCTGAGTACTTCCCAGGGGTTCAGGGATGAAGGGAGAACAGGGACACCTCTCCCTACTACTCAGAAAAACAAGTTCTATGAAGAGACTAGTGGTACCTGCCAAAGCCAGCTCAACTCCTGGCAGAAGCAAGCTGGAGATGTCCTTTAAGGAGTCCTAGGTGAGGGGTGGCAAGGATAGTGGCCCAGGGTGTCTGCAATGATCTCAGTAGGCCTAGCACCCATGCACCCTCCCTGCCCACTGAGACCTGAAAAAGAAGACCTTCACATAGGCTCAGAAGGGTCAGATCTAGAACTCTCTCCATATATCCTCACTCTTACTTGTACACACCCTGAATAGGAAGCTCATTACCTCCAAGGCCTCTGGTATGGCCCTGAGGGTTCTGCCTGCTCTCTGGTTCAGGGGCGGCTCTGAAGAAAGCAGACCTTCACTTGCTGAAGCATGGATGCAAAGGTCAAGAAGGACAATAACCTAACTCAAGGGCCATATCATTTCTCCCTGTGACCAGAAGCTACTCCTAGCCTCATCCTAAACCTTAGGAACCACTAGCTAATAAACAAAATATCAAGGGGGCTGTTCAGTACAGGTAAGCCTGGACCTATGAGTATAAAAACAGATATTCTGGAGAAAAGTTACAAAGCCAGCTGCCCACACATCTTCCTCTGCCCCCACTCCATCCTACCAAAAGATCACATTCAGGGTCCCTGTATTCTGGGGTCCACTTAAGGTCAAGCAGAAAACCCTCTAGGTCCTCTCCCTGATGTCAACTTTGCATGAACATCAGGAAATGGTGCCCCTGTGCCCCTATTCTAGGTTGAGGCTGGTTAAGTAGGTCTCAAGACCTCAGGTGAAGAGAGGGAAGCACACTCTCTGCATTACAGCTCAGAAAAGCAAGGCCATGAAAAGACTGCTATGAAGGCACATCTGAGCTGGGGGGCGGCCTGAGGCATCAGTCCTAACCACTTCCCCAAGCAGCCCCCAGAAGTCTTTAGCAAGTCATTGTGACTCCATGCTCTAAGCCCAGGAGGGGACCCCAACCACTTAGAAGAGGGGAAAGTCAAATCCTGCTGCCTCTTGCCTGGGCCCCAGACTCCAAGGTCCTGGCTCAATGTTGATCTTTATTCACTACACTTCCCTGGCTACTCACTCTTCCATTTAGAAGCTGCTCACCCATCCCATCTCATCATCCAGTATCTGAAAGCATATAATGAAGCATATGGCTATGTCTAAGTGAAACATAAGTTCAATGAAGGCAAGTCTGTGGCTGGTTTTAGTCACTTTCTGTCTCCCAAGGGCTGGGATGTGCCTGGCATGAGACAGACAACCAGCACACCCTGGATAAATGACCAAGTCTGGGGGATGGAGACAGGCCAGAAGTCTAGAAGGTTTTCCAGGCCTTTCCCCCACTCTAACACTTCAGGAAGAGTAGAGGCAGCAGTTGCTTAACACTCCTTAGGAGCAGAGGCTAGTAAGGAGCAGAGGCCCATTAAGGAGAGGATAGGGAAGGTGGAGGTCAAAGGCTCTGCCCAGGACTCTTGTCTCCTGACCTCCCAGTCTTCCCACCATCACCTCACCTGGCCCTCCCTCCTCCTCAGGAGCCCTGCAGGACATCTGCCACCCACATGATGCTTGGGGGAGGTAGGGTTCAGACTCCCATGGAAGCTTGTTAGGTCTCCCTGTGTGGACAGCTCTTAGTTAGTGGCAAAAGCAAAGGGGCCTCACATAACACACAATGCTGGGAAAACACCTTTCCTGATAAGCTTGAAGCTCATGACAAAAAGAAGCTGCCAGTGTTACACTAGACACTCACAGCATCCCTATCCCTGTCCAGCAAGAAGTCCTGTGGCCAGTGGCCCTGCTCTGGGCTCCTCTCTTGAGTTCTCAGGCAAGAGATTCTGGCCAGGGAAACAAAAGCAGCAAGTCACTCACCCAGTACATGCATCTACATATGCTTGCACATACACAAACACAGACATGACCACTACCTGTATAGACAGCATGCACAAGTAGGTGCATAGATGCATGGGATGTGCCTGTGCTCAAATGTGAAAGGTCACACAGCACTCAGGGAAATCCATGAAGAGAATGTTGAGTACACAGATGAGTGGACAGATCCCCTCTCCACTGCGTGCGTGCGCGTGTGTGCGCACGCGCACACACACATACACACACACACAATCACACCTGGTCACACACACACACACACACACACACACAATTACACATGGTACAGCTATGGCAAATCTCAGGAATGTGCCAGCAGCACACACTGCCCTCCTGGGTGGAAAAAGCCTAGGGATGGGCATCCCAAATTGGGGAGCAGCTGCTGGAGTACTTGGCATGTGACCTCCTGGTAGGCCACCTGTGATGCAAGAAGTAGTAGTAGATAAGCCCTCTGAAAGAGGTATGGGTGGCCCATAGGATCCCATCTGGCTCTGTCTGGGATATAGGCAAGGCTGAAGCTGGTTCTCCCTTCTGGGAAATGTAGACTAGAGGACTTTGGCAAGATTCTTCCACCTTCAAGACAGTCATTGCCAGCCTGACCCTTCCTGCTTATTAGCCCCTAAAGCTTCCCAAATGCACTGAGAAGGTCTGTGGGTGGATGAGGGGAAATGAGAGCTCGGCAGGGACTTGAACCTGGGTCACCACATGCCGAAACCATGTGTGGACAGGAGGTGGTCCCTCTGGCTGGGGAAGCTACATGTCCAGGCCTCTCTTATCCAACCAATTGGGTGCTAATCCCAGTCAGAACACTGAAGCTGTGGACAAGTGACTCTGCCAACTTGGGCTTCTGGTCTCCTCTGCTATTGAATGAGAGTAATGTGGCACTTACCCTGTGGGGTGCTATGAGGTTCACAGGGTAGCACAGTGCTTACCCCTGTCTGGTACCCAGCCTGCTGTTAGTGCTCCTCTGCTGTGTCCCAGTCACCCAGTCCACACCTTCATCTGACCAGCTCCATTTCTTGGCTCCAAAAGCCAGCAGCCATCACAAGCCTCAGCAAGTCTTACCTGGTCATTATGAAACTGAAAACCAGTGGATTTCCAGCTTTCAGGATCAGGAAGGACAAAAGAACCTCTGGGAAGCCATGCCAACCTCTGGCCCTGCCCATCTGCCCCTCTATGTCCACTACTCCAGTTATCCTTTATCTAATGCCAAGGACATGGAATTTGTTGCAACCCCAATGCGCAGACATGAATTGGGCCTCACTCCCGTCCCAGTTCTGCCATACTGACCTCCAGCCACAGCCTGGCCAGGTGCAGGCGAAGGGCTTCTCGCCTGTGTGCCGGCGCAGGTGCGCCTTGAGGTGGCTGCTTTTGGTGTACATCTTGCTGCAGCCAGGGAAAGTGCATTTGTGCATCTTGATGAGTTCTGCTGAAGGGTTCTTGGGGAACTTCTGGCCCACAAGGAGGCTGGCAGGGCCTTGGCCCAAGGGTCCTGACCCAATGGGCTTAGCAGCGATTGGCACAGGGGCAATGCGCACAAACTTGGAAGGCAGGTTCAAGTTGGAGGAGGGCACTACCTGGGGCACGAGGGCGAAGGTCTGCCCCTGGATATTGACCAGGAGCTGGGCCACTTTGACACTCTCTGGGGGCTGCCCGGGGGAGACTGGCCCAGTGCCTGCCTCCTGCTTGACTGGCACTGGTTGGATCTGCAGCAGCACTGGGATGGGGCCCTCAGAGATGGGCCCACCACCTGGGCTCTGAGTACTGCTGGTGCTGGGGCCGCCTGGCAGGGGGATGCAGCGCTCCTTCCCACCAGACCCAAGATGCAGGTGGTTTCTAGGCTGCCCAGCTGAGAGCTGACCACAAGCCTCAAAGTTCTTGCTGCTGCTCTCTGGTGCCTCCTTGACCTCTGGCTCCATGTTCTCCTCCAGGAATTCTTCTATCTCCTCCAGGGTGGGCTGGAAGGGCCTCGGGACATCATCAGGGTCACCCACAGAAAACTCGGAGAAGCAGAAATGCTCACCCTTTACAGAAGCTGGTGCCCTCCGCCAGGACCCCCAGGCCACAGGGCTGTTGCTGACCCCTATGCTGCTGCCACCACTCAGTGTAGCGCGGGAGAGCAGGAAGTCCAAGATGCTGTCCTGGCCCTTGGTGCCTGCACTGCCACTGTAGCAGGAATAGAGGGCTTGTGAGTCAGGGCTGGCACAGGAACAAAAGCTGGAGGAGTCGCTGTCATCTTCTGAAAGTGGCGAGGGCAACATGTGGTATGCCCGCTGGCCAGCCAGTCGGTCACCCAGATAACCAGCTGGGCATTTTGTTGACGAGAAGGTCTCGTCCACTGGAAGCAAGTGGTCCACCATGCTGGTCTGGTGGGGTGATGGCTGCAGAGAGGGGACAAGGGAGGCAGAGTCAGGTGGAAGCCATACTCACCTGCACCCTCACTTTTAGCTGACTGAGTTGCCTCCTGTGAGCCATCGAGCCCACAGCCACCCACTGCCAAATGCTTCCATTTTGCCTCTTTCTGTCCCATGAGAGAGCTGTATCTACAAGAGCATTTTCCAAAATTGCACCACCTGTTTGCAAAAGAGCCCTCTCCAAGCCCATTGCACAACCTGGGGACACTTTTGTGATTTTCTAGAATGACTGTGGAAAAGAACAGTTGTTTATCTGTGAAGGATTGTTATTTCCATGTGTGTGTAAGAGAGAAAGAAAGGATGTAAGGAGTTCTACAGACCCTGAGGCAGCCAAGGGCAGGGAATCATCCCAGGGAGGCAGCCCACAGCTGGGCTGAACGGAGTGACTGCATTTCTGGGGACACCTAACATTAGAGCCGTTCCTGTTGCGTCACTGAGAGGTTAGGAGAAGAGCCATTTGCCCCCTGACCCCAGCAGCACAGGGCTGTTGGAGCTTTGGTAGAGTTGCCAGATTGAGAAGACGAAAAGAAAGAAAGGAGAAAAAAAAAATCTATGCTATCTATTTTAATTGCAGAAAATAATTACTTTTCATGTTTACCTCATATATTGAATGGGTCATGCTTATATTAAGAGAATTTTACATGACATTTCAATTTAACTGAGCAGCCTATATATATCATTTGGCAGTTCTAGTTTGGAGGCAAAAAATCAAAATGAATGAGCAATCAACTTGCTTTCAGGCTCCAGGTAAAATCTGAAGCCCTCGGAAGCTCATTCGCCCCAGTACTCCGGCTATTTCATACCTCAGCTGCCTCCCTGGTGGAACAAGAGAGGAGAGAAGAGGGCTTAAACAAAATCCTCTCAAACTGCAGCCTTCTCTGTACCCTGATGTCATTACCAGGACCCTGCAGAGCTATGGACATACAACATCTGATTTTACAACAGCCAGGAGGTGGGAGGTCCTGTCCTCCTGCCCTACACCCATGGCCTCTGCTGTCCCCAAAGGAGATCACTCACCACCTTGGAAGGCTTTCAACCTCCCAACTCCTTCCAGTTCTCCCTAGACTGTGCACACCATGAGGCCAGGCCGGCTGCCGGATCCACTGCAGCCACTGCCTGTGTGACGCCTGGCAAGGCTCAGAAAAGGCTGAGTGAGCAGAGTAGAAGGCCACTTGCTGAGAGCTGAAGGCCACACGAGGTCCCGTGTCCAAGGAGAGTCAATAGTGTTCAGCTCAGATGGGGCCAGCTCTGTAGACCTTTGTCCCTACCAGGAACCACAGCTGCTGTTTATCAGTTTGGGAAGATATTCTACATCTAGAACAGAGATCCTCTGTTGCTTGGTATCCCTTTGCACCTACCCCATCATCTGTCTCAGGATCATGCCAGGCCTAACAACCCAGAACAGGCCAACTGTCAAGAGGCTGGGCCTCAGTTAGGTAGGATCCAGCCAAGGTACCGTATCAGAAGCTATGACCTTGGGCAAGTCTTTGTCCTCAAAACCTCAGTTCTGTTTTTTGCACCATGCTTCAATGTGGCCCTATCCTGCTCCTAGTTTCTCCAAGAAGCAAGACAGTTTGCTTTTTGTTTCCTAATACTCAGCTATGCATTATAATACACACTCCGCACCAAATGGTGTGCTGGAAAGGACTGCAAGTACCAAGAAATGTGAAAGGACAGTGAGGAGCAAGGTTTCTGCCTTTCCCACATGGTACACTTATACCCTCTCTACACCTGCTCCTTCTGTTAAATGGGGGCTCTGCAAATTCTACTGAGTCTCAGATGCTGTGAGAATCCCATGAGATAAACAAGGGATAAAGCTGGGCCAACCTCACAAGTGAGTGCTCAGTCAATATCATCCGATATGCAGTCTATCATTAGCTTTCAATAGGGAACACATAATTTTTCTGGTCCTCTGCTGTGAGGAAGACATTGGGGGATTCCACCACCCTGAAATATGAGAGTAGGTCATGATCAGTGGCCAGGGGCAGATGATAGGATTATATTTTGAAAGTAAGGAGACTTTACCTTTTAGACCTACAAATTGAGGCATTTACAGAAGAAATGCTGTGTAAAATAAGCACAGTAGAAGTAAAGATGGGAGGAAAAGATCCTCAGTTGTTCCACAAGGAAATGTAACCCAATCAGCTCATGCTCCCAGAGCCAAGACCTCTTCCACCTCTCCCAGGTCTAATGTCACTGTGTGTCAAACTCACCAGCTCCATGAGGCCTCAGATTGTTCTCTCTGCAGAGATCCCCACACCCCACATGCTGTTATTAGATGCTGTAGTGTTAGCTCCCATAGTGTGTACAATGGAACAAAACCCTGCTGGGTCCTTCCACATCCTCACAATTTCTGCTGCTCTCTAGCCCCTTGGTGTTGTCACCGTGTCAATTCCTCTCATCAAGGTCTTCCTCTCTTCCTTTGACCCTTCCCTTTTCCAAGCATGTTTTTCTCCCCAGGGACTGGCTCCTTCTGACAACATGCCCAAAGTATGTGACACTGCATCTCATCCCTACATGGGGGCTCCTAATTTAGATCTTGGCTCAGAAGTCACCCACTCTGACCACCCTGTTACATCATCTCAGATTATATTCTTCCTAGCAGCTGGCACCGCTGCAAACTATGTTGGTTCGGTGTTTGCCTACTTTGTTTCCTGTCCCATCTTTTCCAGCCTGTGCTCCCTATCAGAATATGAGTTATCTCTCCAGAGTCTATAGCAGTGTCTGGCATGGTTCTGCAGCTGGAAAAAGAGGGGAGGGGGATAAGAGGAGGAAAGGACAGCCTTCTAAGGCATCATTGTCTGAGCAGGGCTAAGTGACCCAGGCGGACCGCTGAACCTTTAAGCCAAGAAGGGGTTCCTGGGACTGCCGAGGAGCGCTAGCTGAAGTGCTAGGGTGCGTCAGGGCTAAGAGTTGGTTCAGGGCCCTTAAAAAACAGCAGCACGTGGCGTCTCCAGAAGCACAGGCTGTGCGCAGGGGGAGGGGACGTACTGTTCCGGGCACCGTCCCTGGCCCACGGCCGGACTCCGCCCCCTCCCCTGCCCACAGCCAGACTCCGCCCCCTCCCCCTGGCCGCTCCAGGCCTGCTGTTTATCCTCCCGGGGACACAGCGGCTGCAGGAACAACATGTAATTGATAACAAGCCGAGCTCTGGCCAAGGGCTGTCCATTGGGTCAGCGTGCAAATCACGGGGGGTGGCGGGCGGGGCTGCCTTTCAAAATAAGAGTCTCTGATCGCCGGACCTGGCTTGGAGCCCCAAAGTCACCAAGTCCCAGCGTCCTCGCACCTGTGGGGCAGCGTGGACTCCCCATGGGCCAAATGGCTAGGAGGATAGGAGCTTTGAGGGATTCAAGCAGGTTGAGATTGCTGTCACTTTCCGTGGTCCAGGCAAGAAAAACAGCCCCTCTGTGTCCTCTATGAGGGGGTGCAGTTGAGAAGCACCATAGTAGAAAAGAGAAGCCTAGAGGCACTGGGGAGTAAGGGTAGGGGTGGAACTGATGATTCTGTGCTGCCACCCCTGAACTAAGGGAACAGAGGTCTTTCTTTGTGTGGGGGGTCCGAGTATGAGATGTGGGTGAACGATACGGGTGTGCCCAAGTGATGTGAGCGCGAAAGGGTGTGAGTTTAGGTGGTACGACTGTGCGTGTGCGGGGCGTGGTGTGGGGGGTGCGGTGGCCGATGTGAAGGTCCCGGAGGATGTCTGAGATGCGAGCGCGCGTGGGGCCGGCGCGAGAGTGGACACGCGCGTGAGAAAGGAAGGTGCAGGATCCCACTCAGACGGCAGCCCTAAAGCTCTGCCCACTGGGCACCGTGCCCTCGGCCCGCGCCCCCGCCTCCGGGCGGCCACTGCCGCGGTGACCAGCAGTAACCCCCTCCACCACGGTCCATCAGCGGCCGCTCCCCTCCCCCCTCCCGCCGGGCCCGGGTGCCATATGGGAGGGCCGGACCGCTGGGCAAACACGGACCCTCGTGGCCAGACACGGAGGCGGGGGCCCGGCCTGCGCAGGGAAAGGGACAGCAGGAGGGCTATCCTCCCCAAGACTGTTTGTCCCCCTGCGCCTGACCCTAGTGGCTCAACCCGCTCCTCGGACTTGGCCTGGGACACTCGCGCCGAGCTCGGATAGCAAGCAGCGGGCGCCCGGCCACGCGTCCAGAGGCCACCCAGAGTCCCTCTCGCGTCTGGGCCTAACCCTTGGACACCCGGGGCCGCGTCCACACCGCTGTCCGGCCCGCCGCGCGCTCTCCCACCTGAACTTCGCGTACGCCCGGCCGGCGGCCAGGCCCCCAGCGGTCCTGCAGCCCCTGCCGGGCGAGGTTAGGGGGGAGCGGCGGCTCGGTCCCCCGGTCGGGTGGCGGCAGCGGGCGGTGCCGAGGTCCTCAGCTTGCTCGCTCGCCCGCTGGCCAGCGGATCGCAACGGCCGGAGCTCTAGCCCGCCCGCGCGCTGTCTCAGCGCTCACTCCCAGCGTGTCACGTGACGCGCGCGGGCGCCGCGAAGGCTCGCAGGAGGCTCGGCCGCAAGCGCGCCCCCCATTGGCCCGCGCCGCTGCGTCACGCGCGCCCGCCTGGCCCGCAGCCCCGCCCCGAGCTAGTCTGACGGTGGCGTGGCTGCCAGGCGAGTGCGCGTGCGAGCGCGCGGACCCTGCGCTCCTGGACAGCACCAGGTTCCTGGCTCCAGTTTAGCCCGCCTTTCTCCAGCCTCTTCAGGAAGCCCACCACGTAGCTCCCTGGGGGGGCTTCTAGAACCAAGGCCAAACCCTAAAGGTTGAAGAAGTCCTCTGATGTACCAGAATCCCTGCAATCCCCGGAGATAGGAGATACAGGACACGCGGGAGCGAGCACAGTGAGCCCCGCTGGGCACATCTGTCCCTAGCCCAGCCCAGGACTGTCACTTAGCTGTGTCTCACTCAGGTCTAGTGCCAGATGAAGTAGGCCCTCAACTTGGCAA